AAATTAAGCACTCACTCCACTAAACGCAAGAATTAGTCTGTTGTCACTGCTCATTGCAGCTGGGACGAGATCCGGCAAGTAAGGGCAAAGTTGTCTCGCGCTAAGCAATGCTACCTTACCATTCGGCTCTAAACGAGAACAACACGAACTGAAACCTCCAAGCGGATACAGTCCTTGAGATGACAGCAACTAACGCAATACTGCAACGGCTAAGGTTCCATTTCGACCAATTATATTGAGTTCACACTGCCTTATCAAAAGATGGGTGATCGGATGATTTTTGAAGATAAGATTCAACTGAATTATGAAGATGTAGAAAAGGCCTTCCATAAATGCGCCCATATTCTTCAACGGAAAAACATAAAGAGATTGACCTTTGAACATGAATGCATATCCAGCAAGGACGTATCTTCATGACAGCCAGTTTTATAGAATAATTGTCCAGCGGTCGTACCTACAGCAACGGAAAATCTTTCTCCAAAACAGTCCACAGCAAAAGACGTTATTTTCAGCTTGCTGCGTAATGACATGGACTTTATTACAGGTCCAAAATTGAGCACACATAAACACGATGGTAATTCAAGGTTTAGAATTTTCTAAAAAAATTATTTTTGGAAGTTAAATAATTAAATTAAAGGTAGAACTCACGCCAACATCGTCTTCGCGATATAAAAAAGCAAACGGGCCTTGAATGTGTACAGCGATAAGTTTCCTTTTGAGTGTATCACAGCGGACTTCTGAGGCAGAAAGAATTGTACATCAGTTCTCGCTGACAAGTGGAAGGTTTATTAGGTATAACCTTGCTTGTTCTTGAAGATACGTAGCTTTTTGTCCTCAACTACAGCGACAAACTCGGACCTATGAGAATTTATCGATGTTCTTGACATGAATCGCGCATTTGATCTAGTCTTATATCTAAAAGTAATAGAACAATGTTGATAATCATGACTTCCACTCTCTAGGGCGACGTCTTCAAATGCAAAAAAAATCAGACTTTTCTAAGAAGAGAGCACCAGAGATCTTAAATTTTGACCGATACAATCTATATTGTATGCTGCCAACTCAGAAACAAAATTAAGAGAAGAACTCTTAGAACTTGCACTCAGTACAAGACGAAATCAAACATATAAACAACTTTCATCCTTACAATCAAAACACCCTAAATTTCAGAGCCAAAACTCACTGCAAAAGCTGAAAACCTCCAGTGCTCAATCTTGTAAAAGCTTTTACAGCACTGAGAGGCTCCCACGATAAAATGGCTTCGTTTTGTAGGTCCTCCTTATATACGCGAACTAAGCTGCCGTAGTCAGATGCTATGCACTGTAATGGTAGAGTGGAGTTTAAAAGTCTAGATCGTAAGTAAAAAAAAGTTATCAACTCAACTCACCACTGACTTGCAGTTTACAACAATAGCTCTCACACATCCTACTCTCAGGACCTGCTTATATTCCAAATGTAAATCCGTGCCAGACAATCTCCAGGACAACAACGTCTTAAAAATAGAAAGAATAACAACAAAAACACAAAGGCGGCAGTTATTTACCACACTTCTTAACAAACTTCGTTGAGTTCATTTCTAAAGTTTAACGTGATAAAACGCATTTTTTTCTCTTTTTCCATTGATGTTGCAACTCAAACATAATCTATGGTGTACGTGATCACACGTCTAGTGACGATATGAATGAATGGAAATACATCAACAGAGAAGGAAAGCAAGAAGAAGTTAAATCCACCAAACAAGCAGAAATGAAGTTGCGAATTTCTAAAATTGTAGAAAGCATGCGCGCTTATACGGCTGCTGATGAGAAATGAATGTTGCGCCATAATACTACGGCATCCTCTTTGAAGAAACGTACCTCATCTTGACCTGCTGTGAAGATATTTCCATTACTGTCAACTGCGACTGTATAGGGCCGAGC